ATAGCGCGGAGCAGAGAGAACTGCACGCTTTCCGTCACTTTTTCATTCCTGACTTTGCTGTTTCACTTGTCCGTCAGCAATCGCGTCGGAGGGACGACGAGTAAAAAGTTGGCGCAAGAAGGTGGTAACAGACACCCGTGGTAATTGTCAGCGTAAACGCGCCCGTCGTGCCATCTACCGACACGGAAATATCGACTACGCAGCGTCGTGGCCTATCGCCGAGCATTGTAATCGCTCAACCTGCTAAAAGAACGCCGTCACGCGCCCCGGCAGGCTACATTCGAAACGGCCCATACATCGTGGCGATACGCGTTTTACAGCGCGTCTATGCGCCTCGGCGTGTTATGTTGTAACGCACAGTCGCGCGTTCGACACGCCGTGGCGGCGTGTGCACGCACGCACGCACGTGTACGCACGCACCTTGCACACCTCCGCGTCGCGCCGCATCGCCAGACGGAGAGAATGCCGGAAGTTTCGCGATACTTCTATCTCCAGGCGGCGTAAAAGCCGCGGCTGTACGCACCGCGCGATCCGCCGCATGCAATAAAATCGGTGACAAGCCGTGAATTCGTGACGCGACGCTCATAAAGGGATTTACGCGCACGTACGCGGGACGAGCCAGCATAGCCGACGTCGAAGAAACGTTATCGATGACGAAGGCATGCGCGCGAGACCTCGCGAAACGGGAGTTTTTGCGCGCCGTAAGTTCGTGAGGATCGAGAGCCGGTGATTGACTGTCGAAAATCACTCGGAGGGAGATACCGTCGGGTTTCGGGCTAGCAAAATCCATTAGTCACTTTGAGACACGCTAATACACGGAGGAAAAGAGTTAGCTATTGCAGCAAGAATCTGTATGTGATAGCTAAATCTCATTGTGCAAAATAAAAAATAAAACTTCAGTGAAGAATATAATTTTATTTTTTATTTTCTATTTTAAAATTGTATTTTCTTTCATAAATTGGCTAAAATTACGAGTGATCCAATTTACCAGTGGGTTTTTATTTAAGGAGTAAACTTGTCAGTGAATAGCTTTAAAGAAAAAAAAAAAATAACCATGTTTGCTTTATTGAACAATTGCGAAGAACCTCAGTACTACCTATATTTTTTAAATTATGTATAAAATTTTTGTCTCCTTTATTCGCAATCTATTCCATGTGGAGTCGGATCATTTTTAACTACAGCTGATTCTTGGAAGAAAATAAGATTTTAAAATAGGAAATAAAAAATAAAATTATATTCTTTATTAAAATTTTATTTTTTATTTTCTATTCTAATGCGTGCACTTAGTCTTTATATTTTCTGTCTAAAAACTCCTTCCATTCTCACTTTTCCTATACCTTCTCTACTATTATATTTTCTACACACTATTTTCTCCGTCTCATTTTATTTTCTACTTTAAAATTTTATTTTAGCTTTTCATATTATTAAGTAGAAAATAAAAAATAAAATTTCACTTTTTACAAAAGTTATTTCTTTTATTTTATTATTGTTACAATTTTTTAATTTCTTATTTTCTATCTAATAGAAAAGTCAAGATGGAATTTTAAAATAGAAAATAAGATGAGATGGAGGATAATGTAGGAAATAGAAAATATAATGAGAGAGAAGATGTAGGAAAAATGAAGAAGGAAGGAGTTTTCATACAGAAGATATATAAACGCACGCATTAGTGTTCTTAGATCGTCGGCGACAAAAAGACGGGATCTTAACGAATGGAGCGGACAATGTAATCATTCGTAGGACCTCTTACCTTAAATGCATTTATTGCGTGTGCGCGTTTGGTCTCGTTATAAGTTCCAGCTCGACAGCTTTATAACTCTATTGTTCTTATCGTATAATCTTGCTCGACTTACAAGCGGCGCTATGTCGCCTGTGAAGGCGGTACGCGGTTGCAAATGTATTTATACTTACAACTTTCGCATGACAAAGACATTATCGAGTTGGATTAGAACGATATGAGCGCTTAAGGAAGTACTCTGATTTGAAATTCGTAAAAAAAGTACTTTTCCGAATTTTTTACAGGGAAACGAAAAAACCGAATAACGTCAAACTCTGTGCATTCTTTAAGCTTTGCTTGCGTATGTTATATTCTGATTACTATAAGCTCACAAAAACAAAATGTGTACGGACGATGTATGTAATTCTGACTTTCTTAAGTATCTGCAAAAACTAAAAATTTTTTTTACTTAGAAAAAGCTCTCGTCTGAACTAGAAGTAAACCAATATTATCATTCTGACAAAATAACGACCTATTTATTTTTCAAAATTTTAGTTTTTGCTCAAAGTATTTGTTAGCGTTTTATTAAAAAAAAAAAAAAAAAAAAAAAAAAAAAAAAAA